TGTACTCACTTGTGCAGGCACACATAGAAGCCAGAGATCAACTCCAGGTATCTTCTTACCTTATGCAACCTCTCACTGAACCTGGAGCATGTTCTTTAGGCTAGACCGACTGGCCAGCAAGCCCCCAGAACCCACCCATCTTTGTGGCCCCAGAGCTGAGGCTGTAGGCATTTACCACCACACCTGGCTTTTACATGCGTGCTGGAGATCCACACTCAAGTCCTCAGCTTGCACATCAAGCACTTTATCAGTGAGCCAGCTCCCCAGCCCTTCATTCTCCCCATTTGAACTAAATCTTGTACCGCTCTCGGCAGAGGCATCTGAGCCTTCTTTAGTGGAAGGAAAAGAGTGGAATGAGGCTGACTTCAAACCCACTGGACTTTTCAAATCTAGCTACCAGGCCATCCTAACTAAGCAGGCTAGAGGCTCTCTTTTTTGGGAATGGAACACTGGGAGCCTTGCCAGGTTGCCTTCAAGCAGAAGTGTGGGCAGTAAATGCCATTTGCTATGACCCAAGTTCCTTCAGTTTTCTGCATGTGGTGAAGAAAACAGTTTCCCAGTCAACACCACAAGGAAACTCAAGTGGAGAGCTTCTCCAGGGGCCACTTCTGGACTGATAGACCCTGGGACTGATGGCCATGGTGTCAGTTATGACACTACATGGATTTGGAAGGGTGAGCGCAGACTGCAAGCCATGCAAGCAGACCAAGGAGAAAGCGTCTTCTGCCTTTCTCTTCGTACCTCTTCTGTGTCCTCTGGCTTGACAGGGCTGCAGAAAGGGACTTCACACCTGCCCTGACTCAACTGGATCATTTTTATAGAGAGGAAGCCGATCAGAGAAGTGCTACAATGTCCCCAAAGCCACAAGGCTAGTCAAAGTCAGGACATGGGACCAAAGTCAGCCTGGGGCTACCATGAGAATTCACAGAAGGCATTCAGTCATTCTTGGAAATTGTTTTCCTGGCACACAGCATGTACCTTTTGGAAGTCTTTGGTTCTGGTATATGGAATTGGTGTTCAAAGCTAGCTCAGAGGGTGACCTAGCTTCTTTTTGGTTACTATGATAAAATACTCTAAAGGGGGAGTTTATGCTAAGGATACTCTCATGGTGGGAAAGTCAAGCAGCCTAGAGCTTGAAGCAGCTGCTCACATTGCATCTGTAGACAGGAAGCAGAGCACAGGAATGCCCTTTCTCCTTTCATACCGTCCTGTAGTGGGTAGCTGTTCCAGCTTTGACCTGGAAGTACTACCCACATTGAGGCTTCCAGTAACTGTCACGCCTATGAGGTGGGGCCGAGACAGGAGCCCTTAAGACCTGAGATCCGGATGTGCTGGCTGTCTTGGTTCCTGGGTCCTGGAGGCTGGAGATAGACCGAGCAGAGTTCTCCAGAGACCACCACTGGACTGCACCTCTCCCAGACCCTGTAACCTATCCCTTCACTTGTAAGTTACCCCACAAAATAAACCTCCCTTTTAACTACGTGGAGTGGCCTTGATACTTCCACCAATACTGTCCAGCATCCCTTACTTAGGGCTGGTGCCACCCACAGTGAATGGGTCCTTTCATCTCAATGAAGCTAGCTAACATAACCTATGACAGGTATGCCCAGAGGCCCATCTCACACGTAGATTGCAGAGCTTATCCAGTTGACAACTGAGATAGTCATCACAGAGGGTGATGAAACTAGGTGACCAAATATGAGCTCACAAACAAGTGGAGCTGGGGAGGAGTGAGGCTGAAAGTCTCCTGTGACTCATAACCCAGCACCGATGGCCGCCGTGTTGTAAGAAATCTGTCCGTGTCCTTAGTGTGACCAGGTAGAAGCAAATTATCTACACTTGGAGATTCCTATTCTTTGTTCTGTATTTATATTCTTTAGTGTATGTGTGTGTACATATGCATATATATACACATACCCAGGGACAGTCATTTTGACATATTCATTTAAAGTGGATATATTTTAATTTAAAATAAATCATTATGTAGCTAGAGTTTTCCTGCCTTGCCCACAGTCAGGACAAATCTGTCACCTGCCAGTTCCATAGCCGCTCAGACGCAACCAAGTAAACACAGAGACTTATATTGCTTACAAACTGTATAGCCGTGGCAGGCTTCTTGCTAACTGTTCTTATAGCTTAAATTACTCCATTTCCATAAATCTACACCTTGCCACATGGCTTACCGGCATCTTCACATGCTGCTTGTCATGGTGGCGGCTGGCAGTGACTCCTTCTGCCATCCTGTTCTTTCTTCTCTCCTCTCTGTTAGTCCCACCTATACTTCCTGCCTAGCCACTGGCCAATCAGTGTTTTATTTATTGACCAATCAGAACAACAGATTTGACGTACAGACCATCCCACAGCATCATTATTTCTGTGTCTATGTATGTCTGTGTGCACAGGTGCCCACGTAGGCCAGAAGAGGGCCTTAGGTCCCGTGGAGCTGGAGTTACAGGTGTTTGTGATCTGTGCTTAGATCTGAACTCTAATCCCTGAGGTAGAGTACTGTGGACTCAGCTGCTGAGCCGTCTCTCCAGTTAACTTGATAATCATGATTCTTGCAGGCACAGTTAATGAATGTGTGCCTTCAGTAGTTAGCAATGCTGACAGTCCCATGGAGGAGCAGAAGGAATCACACTCACCAGGCAGTGGTGGCACATGTCTTTAATCCCAGCACTTAGGAGGAAGAGCCAGGCGGATCTCTGTGAGTTCCAGTCCAGACTGGTCTACAAAGTGAGTTCTAGGACAGCCAGGGCTACACAGAGAAACCCTGTCTTGAAATTAAAAAAAAAAAGGGTGGGGGGAATCACACTCATGGTCTAAAACCCAGAACTGCTGTCCCACAGCTGCATAAAGTTTGGCAGATTTAAAACTCAAGCTTCAGTCTCCTCCCCTCCAAAGTCAGCATACCTGGTGTGAGGGTCCATTCCCATCATCCACTTGACAGGGTCCCCGGATCACTTAGGAGACACCCCTTTGGGTATAGAAGGAGCGAACACCCAGCCTGAATGGGGACAGCACTATTCCATGGTCTGGGGTCCTGGATGGAAAATAAAGGGGGTGGGGGTAGTCCAGAATTCCCCTCTCTCTGTCTCCTGACTGCAAAGACCGTGTGACTACGGCCGTAGCTGGAGCTGCACCGGGAGCCACACACACCCTTCCTCCCTCAAGCTGTGTTTGTAGGGGATTTTGTCTCAAAACAAGAAAAGTAACTAACACACCAAGAGTCTATGTAACTTCTTGAACTTCCAAGAAATGAAGGAACGTGGCTGAGATTCCGCATTGGTAAAGGACAACGCCGGAAGAAAGCTGAGGGCTGTCGGAGTCCCAATCCTGGTTCCCTCCTGGGCACCCCTCTTGCGTCCCTGCAAAGGAAAGCCAAGGAGGATCGTCTTCGATGGGATGTCACCATCAGGACCACAGGTGCTGCATAGCCTGCCCAGTCCAGTCTTTTTAAAGCTATCATGTAGAGCCTGCCTGAAAGAATCATTTACAATTGCATGTAGGTTAATATTACATATGGCTCTAGTGATATATATGTTAGATTTCAGTTTTTAAAAATAATCTTCTTCCACCCCCTCACCCATATCTAAAAATAAGATGCCAAAAATATTACCTGGGAGAGAAATGTAATGAAAAGCAGGAAAAACTATAAATTGACTATAGTCTATTGCAAGATGCGGTGGTTCCGGTTTATGGAGACCCAGTTCTGCAAAGCTCCATCACTAAAGGAGACTGTGTTTCTAGGGGGACGTGTTCAAACGAGCTATGCCAGTAGCTGTTTATTCACTGGTGACTTTTTACCCAAGAAAGACTGACTTACTGTCCACTCTTTCCAGAAAGAGTTTTCATTCTATTGAGTTTGTCATTAATGACAAGGAAAAGAAAATAATGAAAGAGGACTGGTAAGTTTTTTTTCTCCATTTTCTATATCTCTTTAGACTGTTCTGGAATGTCTATTTGCTGTGTTGTTTTTTGTTTTTGTTTTTGTTTTTTTGTCCCATTAGGCATAGAATGAGCATCATGCAATGTTGTGAACATTAGATTTCTAGTTAGAAGATTAGGATTCATGTCCAGCTCTATCAAATATTTCCCATGTAACCCCTGGCCAGTCACTTGATATCTCTGGGCTTCAATTCCTTTTGGCAGAAAGCCAAGTATGGTAGTACTAGCATCCCTATAATTTGAAGCGTTCTGGAACCCGAGGCAGCAGGGTTACAAGTTCAAGGCCAGGCTCAACTAATAAGACCCTGTTTCAAAATGAAATTAAAAACAGCTAGGCTGGTGAGATGGCCCAGTGGATAAAGGTGCTTGCTGCTAAGCCTGATGACCTGATTTTGATCCCCAGACTCCAAAAATGAAGGCAGAACGGACTCCCTCAAGTTGTCCTCTGACCGCCAGACTTCCACCGCGGTGTGTATGGCCCCCACAAAAAGACACACAAATAAATAGGTAGGTAAATAGATGTGTGTAGTTTTAGAAGTCTGAGTATGTGCACTAGCTCAGTGGGAGAGTGCTATACTGCCATTCATGAGATCCTGGGTTTAGCCACAGTGCCGCAGAATAAAATAAAATAAATGGAAAAAACATCCTGGAGATGTTATATGGAAAATACCTTAGACTTTTGTGGGTGTTGCTTTGTTTTGTTGGGGTTTTTTTTTCGTTTGTTTTGAGACATGGTCCTCACACTGTAATTCAGCCTGGCCTGGAACTCACTGTGTAACCCGGGCTGGCCTGGAACTCACCATGTATCCCAGACTGGCCTCAATCTCACAGCGATATTCTTGCCTCCACCTTTCAGGTGTGTCTTTAATTATTTAAGCTAGTTTCTTTATTCTTTAGAAGTGCCTTTTGGCCTATCTATAAGTCACTTTCTGTCTGAGCAAGGTATTTCCCCTCAAGTTGGGATAACACAAAAACGTTCATCTGGTTTTACCCCTAACTCTGCCCTAACTATGAAATCCTCTAGTATTCTGTGAACTGTATCAGATTCTCTGAAATGAAGTCCGGGGCTTCAGCTAGAGAGGTGTGGTGTGGGTGTTTTTAAAGCAACAATTCTGTATTCCGACTTTGACCTGCACCATGTGATAGCCCAGGTGCTGGGGGACCCTCACCCAGGGGAACACACGAAGTGGAAAGAGGGTTAGAGCGAGCAAGCGAGCGAGGGCTTCGGTAAAGGCAGGAAACGGTAGGTAGGATGCCTCTGCCAACCATGGTCTGTGGTTACAGCACGAAAAGGAAGTATCCGTGGTGAAGCTATGGCCAGGTCAGAGGAAGGACTACAAGATGAGAGCATGTCCGCATGCCTGGGGAAGACCAACAGTGACCCAAATAAGATGAAGGAGCGGGGATGAAGATGGAGGTCTAGTGTGCACGAGCTCCAGAAACACACCTACTCCTGCCTTACCAGAAAGCAGGCCCCAGTGCCACACACCGGACCCCAAGCTCACACTACCACGGATCACCAGCTCCTGCCTCGGGGCCTTGTTCTCCGGGTGCACAGGTCTCCTTCTGGCTCACGGTGCTGTACTCTCGTTTCTACTGATCCCTATTCCCATGCTGTGCCTATCCCAGGCACCCCTGCCTGGCCTGCTTGCCTGGCACGTGCTCTTTTTAGTGCTCGTTTCCCTTGTTTATTTGACTGTTGGTTCATTTCCTGGCTAGCCTCCCTGGAGCCTGCTCAGACTGCCCTTCGACTTCACCTGTGCTGCTGAGACCAGAGGCCTAGACTATGGTTTGTGCAGGGCACTCAGCTGCATTAGGACAGTATTTAGCACATAGTAGGCACACAATAGGTAGTTGTACAAAGAAGGAAGAAAGTGAGAAGTTTGTTCTACTTGTTCTTTCCTCTCTCCTTCCAGGAAAGCTTACACAAATAAGCAACATGTTTTTGAGAGTGTGGAATCCAGGCGTACATAATTAACAGCCAGAGAAGGGAGAGGAATATGTCTTTCCACGGGCAATTTGCGCGCTGCGGTTGGTTTTTTTTTTTTGTGTGTGTTTTTGTTGTTGTTGTTTGTTTTGTTTTGTTTTTGCTTGTACTGCTACAAAAAGAAATGGCCCTCAAGCATCCCCGTGTCCCTGCTCTTTAAGGGTACACCAGCACCCTTCAAAGAGAGGGCAAACTGAGTGACAGTGTCTGATAGATGTGGAGCCCTGTTCTCAGCGCCGTCCCATCTCAGATTTGTATTTAACATTTTCACTCTGTAGACCAGGCTGGCCTCAAACTCACAAAGATCTGCCTGCCTCTGCCTCCCAAGTGCTGGGATTTAAGGCGTGCGCCACCACCGACCGGCTTGCATTTAACATTTTACAAAAGGAAACTCGAGGCTTCTGAAGCTGTTCCACTTGACTGAGGCCCAAAGTAGAAAGCTGAAAAGTGGACCAGAGTCTGTCACAATGCCAGCCAGCCTTCTTACATTTATGTGTGAGCACCTACCAAGTGAGCACAGACTTGCTGGCTCTCTGTGGCCCTCCCCTTGGAGAGATTGAAACTGGATCTGCAGTTGATAAGCTTATCATCAGGACCAGGAAAGAACGAGGCAAGCAAGGTGCCTAGGATGCAGAATTCAGAAGGTCCATCCTTTTTTTTTTTTTTTTTGAGACCAAAGTAACCCAGGTTGGCTTCCAACTCACTGTGTACCTGAGGATAACCTTAAATTTCTGAATCTTCTGCCTTCGCCTCTTAATTATTTCTTATTATGGGTATGTGCCACTGAGCCAAGTCTATGTAATGCTGGAGCTTGAACCCAGGGCTTTGTGCATGCCAGGCAAGCACTCTACCAACCGAGCCACACCCCAACCCTATGAGACATCACTCTCAAGCACTTGCCCAACTTCAAAGAGTGATGTCTTTTAGCGTTTTGGGCCAAGCACACCCCCCACTTCCCTCCCTCATTCTGGCCCTGCTCTTAGCAAGTTGCCTTTGCTATGGGGTCATCAGATAACGTCTTTGTATAGAAACAGCCGGGTTCATGTTAAGCCCTTTGCTGGGAAAGGTGTGGCCCACTTTGCTGGCTTGCTTCTGCCCATCTCTTGACAAGCTCTTCTGTAAACAGCTGCTGGAATTATTTTTCTAAGGAACAGATACTTCAGTCTCTTTCTTAAAACCTTCCAGAGGGGCTGGAGAGTTGGCTCAGTAGTTAAGAACACAGGCTGCTCTTCCAGAGGACCAGGCTGGATTCCCAGCATTCACATGGCAGTTCACAATTGTCTGTAACTCCATTCTCAGGATCTAGTGCCCTCTTCTGGTTGCCAGGGACACCCGGCACTGGTGGTGTATAGAGATGCGTGAAGCCAAAACATCCATACACATAGAATAAAAAAATAAAAAAACTCTTAAAACAACAAACCTCCCAGAACTGTGCTGGCTGTAGTCAGCTGCTTAGTACAGCCCTGAAGGCCTTTACATGCTGGCACCAGTCTCCAGCCCTCACTCTCTACGCCCTAAACACGCTGGCATTGTCACACCCCCTTGACTCTGGACATGCTGTGCCTTGTACTGGAGCTGCCCTTTTGTCTAAACTTAAATCATTTCTCCCACAGCATCATACTCCAAGGCCACCGCACCCGACTCACAGCCCCACCAGTAGTTCTAATGAACACTCAGGTGAGGGGACGGGAGGAGGAGGCCGAGCCTCAGACGAGCTATGGAGATGCTGAGGTTTTTGCAGCCTATCAGACTTCCGAAAGCAGGGAGCCACCTCAGTGCTGAGGAGGAAGACGGGGGTATGTAGTTAGGAGAAGGAGGAAGGACAAGTCCTTGTGTGTATACCTCGGTACATACATCTTCAGATCCATGTAGACATTCACAGGGTCAGACAACATCAGAGGACCCCTGTCCTCTTTAGTTCTGGAAACTTCACATATGTGTACTGTGCCATTTTATCTGACCAAGAAGACTCTGGGAACCTACTGTATTAATTACTTTTCCCTTACTGTGATAAAATACCTTGACAGAAGTCACCTTTAAAAACAAAAAGGGCTGATTCTGGCTTATGGTTTTAGAGGGACAGCATCCATCATGGCAGAGAAGCCGTGGCAATAGATAGGGAAATCACGGTGGCGGGAACAGGAAATGGCTGACCATATTTTCAACCACACACACAGGAAGCAAAAAGGAAGAACAGGAAGTGGGGGGACTCTAAATGCTCAAAGCTCATCCCCGGTGAGGTGTTTCCTCCAGCCAGACTCCACTTCTAAAAGTTCCATAACCTCTCCAAACAGAGTCACCAGCCGTGGGCCAAGTGTCCGAAGACATGAGTCTTTGAGGGACATCTTTCATTCAACTCACCACAGCCCTCCATCCTTCTTTGGGTTCCTCCTCTTCCTGATTTTTCTCCAAATTGGAACAAACCTTATAAACCCCTAGTCACCATTAGAAGCCAAAGGAGTAGTTAGGTCTGAACACCAGTCTTAGGCACGGGGCTAACATCCTAACAGGCCATTAACTCAGGCCTCCCAAAGCTGTACCCCACTTTCCCTGCACAGAAGGGGGTGGGCAATAGTCTCCAGAAGTGGTCTGCAGTGCTGACTTTACAATCCAGCCAAGTGTGGATAAACCTTTGGACTCCCTTGTGTATCTTTTCCCGTGACAATTCGGGTCCCGGTTGTCGATCATGAGATGAGGCCAGGTTCTCAAATGTCCCGCGGCTCCCCCATCTGCCCGGGGCTCTGGGCTCATGTCTACGCTTTGGGCTTTCAGGCCAAGCCTCCATGTCAGGGTGTTGTAACTGGCTTGCAGGCTTCACGCATAGTCCCAGCCTTTGGGGTGGCGCTCCGTCACCTCACTTTTTGCCTAAATTGCCAGCGATTTATTTTCTTTCTTCCCTGTGTTTAACTTTCCTGCCTTCCTTGTGTGATCTTGACAGTGAAGTCAAAGTCAGGCTGACATTTTGGTCTGGTGTCCCCGAGGAGTTCCAGTCTGCATTCCTGGAGAGAAAGTTTATGTGTGTATTGGTTGAGGACAGGCTTCACCAACCACACAATAACTCTTCTCTGGCTTTCCTTCCGTCCCTCTCTCCCTCCCTC